TTGACTTGATACATTTATATATTGCAAAATGATTACTACCACGGCTTTAGCTAACACGTCCATTGTGGTCTCATTTGATCTTAAATTTCAATATTGTGGCCCAGTGTCCAAGAAAATGAAATAATATACTTGTTCACTGATCAGAATATACCTCAAGTGCTGTGGTCAGTGCTGACAGTAACACTATTTTGCTCTGACGATTTCTCAGGAGCCAATTCCTTAAGTCATTGGGGTGGGTATGGATATGCGTGAGCATCAAAGCAAATTCCTTTCCATGGAAGTCAGATGTTTTTGGTAGCATTGGATAGCAGGGTCAGCCTAAAGGCATTACAATTGGGGATGAGGAGATTAGGTCAGTAAAGAGCCTGAAAAGCAGATGAAAAGGCTTTTCAAGGATACCTTGTATGTTACTGATAGTGATAAAATTGGCTTAAGACTAGGAAACGCTAACTTCAATGGTCCTAGAAAAAAATAAGAAAATAATTACCAAGAGTTTTGGAGCATCAATCATTGGAGTAATGTCTAAAATTGACTCAAGTTTGTAGGTGTTTCCTTCGAAAGCATATATGATGGCTTTTGTTGTTGTTTTTTATTGTTAACCTTCCAGAAATAAGAACTAGTTTTCCCATAGATTGTCATTCAAAGTTAATCAATATTTCAATTAAAAAGTAGGAAGAATATTACCAACTATTCCCTATGCTATACTTTACATCTCCATGATTAATACTGTAATAATTAGATATGTGCCAGGTGGGTACTAGACTAATCAGGGAATCACTTCGTAAATTATATAAATGTCTAACCATTGTGCTGTATACTTCAAACTAATGTAAAACAATATTGAATGTCAGCTGTAATTGAAAAATAAAAAGTAAATAAAAATGAGGAAGGATACTAATTAATAATAGGACTCACACACTTTATAGATAAAATATTTCTTCCTGGGGTAGGCAGGGAGTTACAACTAAGGGTTAAGGAGAAACTCAATGAGAGTTAGGAGGAGTATGAAAGTCCTTTAAAAATAGGAGAAGGGTCTAATATCAGACTCAGGATATGGAGTAGGGTAGAGAAATCACAATGTAGCTACCGTTTGTTGCGTACTTACTCTGTGGAGGGAATGACATATAACATTGATTGTACATAGCATCATTTAGGTTGGGAATTATTCTAATATAATGAAACAGAAGCCAAGGAAAGTTAATATTTGCTCAAGCTCACAGAAATGTGAAATAGCCAAAAGATTATATACTACTATTACTACCGCCAGCTAACATTATTGGAACACATACTCTGCGCCAGGCATATATATCATCTGGCGTTATCCTCACATCTCTATGAGATGGCACCATTTTTTAGAGGTAAAAAGTGAAGCAGAGACAGGTTGAATAACTCACCCAAGGATATACAGCTAGTAAGTGGTGGAGGCTCTATGTAAAACCAAGCAGTCTAATTTCCAGGTTTGTGTTCTTCACTTCAACTGCAAGCTGGCATTCCATAACTCTGAACAGTTGTCTTATGTCTACTAATTTATTCCCTCACATTATTCCCCCTTCTTGCTTCTCCTGTTTAATTTTTACTGAGATAAGTTTTCTAGTAAATTACTTGCATGTGAATCTATGTCTTAGGCCTGCTTCTGGGGAACTGAACCTAAGACATGTTCTCTTTCATACTGCCAAAGAACTGTGACGTTGACTTCTGTATGTCTTTTATTCATTGATTAGTGTTTGAAATAGTTGTAAAAACTGATAAAGTACCAAAAGGTATCAATATCTTGACATGCATTTTGAGCTTTAAGTTAAAAATCACATTTAGAACTTACTATGACCTCAACTGTGATTTCTCAAGGAGATCTTGTTGAATATTCCTGCTAGTAAAGCTCAGATGAGACTATCTCAATTTATCAATGTGGTTGTTGTAAAATGTTACCCCAAAGCAAAGGAATAAAGAATTTAACAGAGGCAGTGTAACATTATAGTAACTTAGAGAATACTTATTCAGTGTATGGCACTGTACTAAATACTTTCTATATAGCAATTCATTTATTCTCCCCAACAATAGCATGAGAACTATTCTATTTTACAGATAGGGCACTTGAGCATGGAGAAGTTAAATTACATACTCAATGTCTCACAGGCATCACTACTCCAAAGGTAGCAGTATTAGTAATTATCATTGACAGTATCAGTGATGGTGTACACACTTTCCTTCATTGCCTTGTGCACTCCTTCACCACAGCACTACCACAAAGGGCTCAATGGCTTTTTCAGACTTAATGAAGTGTTAGAATGATTAAAGAGAATTATAATTTTGAGAAATGAGGAAAAACTTTTGTATGTTTCATGTCTTTCCCTATAGTCCAAAGGAAGAGCATGCCAAACTTAAGGGGGATCAATTTTTAGACATATCCTGCTGTAGTCAGCTCAGGCTGCCATAACATAAAACCAGGACTGGGTATCTTAGATATCAGAAACTGATTTGTCACAGTTCTGGAGCATCTAAGATCAAGGTGCTGGTTGATTCAGTTCCTGGTGAGGGTTCCCTTCCTGTCTTGCAGACGGCTGCCTTCTTGCTGTGTTTGTGTACATGACCTTCCCTTGGCTCATGCATGTGAGGGAGAGAGAGAGATCTCTCTCTTATCAGTCTCTTCTCATAAGGGCAGTGATCCCATCATGAGGGCCCTGCCCTCCTGAACTTATTATGATGAGTTATCTCCCAAGCAAATACTCTCTAAATCACATTGTGAAGTTAGGGCTTCAACTTAGGAATTTTGGGGAGACTCAGATATTTAGTCCATAACACAGCCATTCCCTACTTTCTCAGATTAATATCTTCTCTCTGAGAGAGAGAAACCTACTTCAAAATGTCTTAGTGCAAATTTCATCTTCATTTAAGAAACTCACATCTTATTCATGTGGTTTGATCATATGTTAGAACGGGCCGTGTGTTGTTCATTCCTACTGCACTTGGAGTCTGTTGCTTAACTTACTCAGAAAATCCCCTATTTCTACTGATGTGGTGACCATCAATTCTTATGTTTCTATGTTTCCCACTTTCAATGACTCTGAGAGACTCATTCCATGTGAGCCTTATCTCTACTGACCTCACAACTCTGGCCCCCTCTAATCCTGTACCTACACCTGGGCCCAGTGTCTCCTACTCTTCCAGATCATGTGATTCTCATCCTCACTGTCTCCATTTCCCCTACTCCACTGGTCTGGAGGGCTCCCCACTAGTGACCGTGATCTAGTAACACTGTAATCCCCTTAATCCTGACCCCACCTGATGGCAGCTTTACTCTCTCTACTGCTATCACAGAGAACCCCATTCTTATATAGTCATCTTCTCTCTATCCCAATTTACTTTTTTGCCAGTTTCTTTTTCTTTGAGCACAGTCTTGAATCTTATTTAATAACCACTCTGCTCAAATGCCTGAGGAATTTATCAAAGATATTTTTATTTATACATAACAATTTTGGCTTGAAAATCAGTTAATGTATGACATATGATACTTCTTAGTTAAGAGCCATTATGGGTTCATTAAACAAGCACAAAAAGCATTCAGCAAGTGTTAACTGAATATTGCAATTTTCACGGATGCAGTGATGTGAGAGACAGGTATCATGCTTGCAGGGGTTCTGTTTCTGTCACCATTTCAACATGATCATATTAGGAGGTCCTTTCAACTCTTACTGAGACTATTTTCCAGAGAACAAAAGGGAAACCATACTGTTCAAGAACACCTGTTTCCTTTATAATTTTTCTGTTGCAAGATTTCTTCTGGAGGCATGGGTAATTTGACCTCAAACTGAGAGTATACTTGAAGCCCTTTGAGGGTACAAAGATTGCAGAATCAGCACTGCTATCTCCCAACTCTGAAGATCCAAGTTTGGACTGCTGTTCCATGGATTGTCTGTTTTCACTGGCTATGGAGGGGTAGAGAGTGTGACTGTGAATAGAAGCCTATGGATGCTCTTGTGTCCAACATGAAGACATTTTTTTCATTATATCATGCTTCCTTTAGATTATCAGCTTTGAGAACCTAGCATAAGTCATTGTTTCAGAATGTGTAGGATTGCCGAATGGCGATTGCTTTTCCTTCTCAGGTTTTTGGTTGGCTTCAGAGCATTTTAAATTTTTATTCTGGTCATGACCTTATGGCTCAAATAGCATAAAAAGTCACAAGGGTGACTGTTTTAGAGATAAGCATTTCCTTCCATTATAATACATAAAAGAATTTCTTATTGAAATAT